TAATTTTGCTGGGGAAGCAAGGTGAAACTCATTAGTCCATGGTTTGAAGAAATCATTTTCTTTCCCTGTTATGAAAATCCTCATATTTGCCTCTCTATATTTTTCTGACATTTCTATAATTTTCTACGATTTCTCAAGAATAACTTAAGAACCCAAGTTATATGGGATTAAAACTGGCAGATGCTAGTAGTCTAACTCTTCAAGGCAACTTATGCTAAAAATTTCTGATTGTTCAGAATAGGTTTGGATACTTCAAAAAGAAATTCCAACAAGGGAGGAAGCCCATACTAGTATCATGATAAAAAAAAATGGTGGGAATAAGATTATAAAATAGATGGAAGATTCATCAATCAGAGTGAGGTGCTGACAACACCTACTAAAGCAGAACAGGTAGAAATGGATGCATAGGGCAGCTAGGTGGCACAATGGATAGAGCACTGGCCCTGGAGTCAGGAGGACCTGAGTTCAAATTCGGCCTCAGACCACATACTTGACAGTAGCTGTGTGACCCTGCACAAGTCACTTAACCCCAAGTGCCCTTAACAAAGAAAAAAGAAAAAAGAAAAGAAATGGATGCATGGCCTGATCTGACTTGAGGTCCATGATACCACCAGAATTGAAGAGGGCCTATAATATGGACATGGTGCACCTAATTTAAGCAGAAAGTGGGACCTTCTCTTTAAGGATATTTCAAAATTTGCTAGAGAAAGGAAGCAAGCTGCCCTTCACAATCATCAGGCAGTCCTAAGTCATTATCCAATATCTGCCCTTCCCAATTATTTACAGGTTAGGGCGTTGGCAGATCTAATAAGAGAATCAAATGGGCTTTCTCCTTGAGACCTTTAAGTGGCAAGTGGTCAATTCAGGCTGCATCTTTAAATAAAGGAAACACTGGATAATATACTCATAAGAGATAAGATACCTCCATAATAACTGGGTGGCTTGTTAAACTTTTTATGTGATATCTCTTTATTCAATTTAATTTCAACCATTTACTAAGCATTACCTACAAGTAAGGCACAGTGTTAATTTTCTTTATGTTTTAATCAGGAGTTTCTGCATTTGAAGAGGCAACTTAATCAAAATTTTGGTTAATGAATATGAAGAGATAAAACATCTTGTCAACTCTATAACACAGGAGAGTGGAAAGAGGACTGAACTTGACTAAAATCTGGGATCAAGTTCCACAGTGAGTTTGATGTAGTTTACCTTATATAAATAAGTCCTAGACCTTTCAAAAGCTCGGGTTTCTCATTGAGAAAACAGGGCTAATACTTGAAGTATGTATATCTCAAAGAACTGTTGTGAGGAAAATGTCATGAAAAAATTGTGAAGTACTAAAAATAAATGTGAATTTCTACTATATTATACATGTGTACATGGATGTATTAGTCTATAATGAGGATGAGGAAAGGTCTTATATAATGGCAGGTAGCATTTGAGCTGAGTCTTGAAGTAAAGTAAAAATTCTAAGAGGCAGATGCGAGGAGGGAAGACATTATACAAAGGGGTGACAGGCAATAAAAAGTCAGGGAGGTGGGAGTTGGAATGTCATATGTGAGAAATAAACAGCAAGAACACCAACTGAGTTAGTACTGCTGTTGCTGTTTGTCCTTCAGTTTGAATTGTAGCAGAAAGGAACTATACAAGAACCTGAGGAAATGCTTTCCTGATCTAACTCTGGAAGAAGGGAGCAATGTTTTATTTTAACCTTGCATCCTTCTAAATTGATTCTTGATAAAACTGACTTTAATTATACCTTATATGGCATCTTAAATTTTGAACCCAAATCCTCTAGCTCCTTTTTTCCATGATCCTATAAAGATCATTGATAATGGTTCAGAAATTAAATCCACTAGTTCTTTCAGTATCCAAGGAGAGAGTCTTTCTGGGCCTGGTAACTTAAATTTTAAAAATACATTTTTATTATCTTTCAATTAATCTTTTAGTAGGGATATTTCAACTCCCTATTATCCTTATACTATTTCCTGTCTGAAGGTGATTCTTTTGGATGAAGAAAACAGAAGCGAAATAAGGGCTGAGGAATTATGCTTTCACTTTATTGTCTTATCATTATTCTATCTTCCCCAAGTTGAGGCCCTATTACATATCTGATTCTCTTCTTTCCCCTAATATAACATAAAAGAAAAATAAGCCTTTCTGTTGTCCTAACCATTCTCCACTTCTTCCAGCTTATTCAAAGAGTTAGTATTTCTGTCAATATTTTAAAAAATATATTAGTTATTTTGTAAAATCTCACCTTCATTTCTGAATAGATCCCTTCTCCCTCCCCACCCAGCATGTCATTTTTTAAAACAAAGAATAAGGAAAAAAATAGCAGTTCAGCAAAACTAATCATCATATCAACCAAATCTGACAGTATATGCAATGCCTCATATCCACAGTACTTTATCTCTGTGAAGAAAGAAAGGAGGTATATTTTCTCATTTTATCTTGATGACAAAGGTAACATTATTTTGGTGACTTTGGTCTTAATAGTTTTCTTAAAGGACCCTGCAATGCTTCAGTTTTATTTGTCCTCCATTACTTATCCTTGCAAGTAATGAGGATAGAGGTGTTTTCTACATATAGAAAATATAACTACAATAAGCTTCTTTTTAATCTAATTTAAGTTGGTACTTCATTAGAGACTCCCCCTTTTCTTCTTCATCACAATTATTTTCTCTCTTTATTTGGAATTTCAGACTATGGTATCTGACCTGTCTTTTCTTTGAACCCTTTGAAATCTGTTCTCCAAAAAAATATGATGCATGTCAAAACTATGTCTGACATTTCCCTCATCTATCACAAACTGTATGATGGAATGCCAATTCCACATAAGATTCCCATTATTTCCATTTTAGCTACTGGCTTCTTGTTGGTGATAATCATGTATAGAATTGCGGTTATCCCTTGGCTTCCCTCATTATTTGAATTTTTCCCACATTGAAACTTCCCAGAGATGTATATTTTTTCCAAAGCAAGGTACCTAACTTCCATCTAGAAAAACAGATATTTCCCGAGACAAATTCTAAACAACCACCAGGGAAGGAGACCATGGAATAACTAGCCATTCTTGTGCCTACCATCAAAAAACTTTCCCTCAGTTTAGATACAGACAGGAACAAAGGAATAGATAATGATCAGGTTATATATAAGAATTGACATGTAATTAGGAGTAGAGGATGGAACCAGATGGTGGCTGAGAAGCCTGAGTACATCTGGAGATTACCTGGCATACATATAAAGGCAACACTTCTAATCCAGAACTTCTGGACCATCACTATATTTAAGACTGATCTTTAAGACAGTTAGATGCTGCAGCAAATAAAGTGTTACAGCTGCAGTCAGGAAGACCCAAGTTCAAATCCAGCCTGATACACTTATAAGTCATGTGAGCCCAGGGAAATCATTTGACCTCTATCTGCCTCAGCTGCCTCATTTGTAAAATGGTACAATAACAATACCTACCCATTGTGGTTGTTGTAAAGATTAAATGAAATATTTGTAAAGGGCTTTGAAAGTGCTATATAAATGCTAGTTGTTATTGTTGTTGTTGTTACATTACACTAAAGATAGGACTAGAGATAGGCAAAAGAGAGCATGAAATGCCAACATGGGAGGCTGATGGGGTCACCTAGGATGGACATAACGAAAGATACTTTTAAATATTAGAAATGTAAAAAAAACACCTCTCCTTAACAGGCAATATCAGTATTTTTTAATATATTAATTCACAATGATTATAGTAAAGATTCAAAATCTCTAGTGATCAGTAATATACAGCAATGCAGAATTTTTAAAACTTGTTTTGGGTGTACAAATACTCTAATTCCTGGTCTTAGTATTTCTAACCTAGATCTAGCTCCACATGCTCGATACTCAATCTTGTACAACTTTTATAACTATACTGCGTTAGCAACATAAGTAGCTTAAGCAATAAGAACTTAAGTCTTAAGTACATAACCTTAATGGACAGGACACTGAGGAAATGAATCTTTAAGTGCTCTTTACATCTGTTCTACACATACCTAGAAGCCAGTTTCAAAAAGAATGAAAACACACACACACAGAGGACACAACCTTGTGTCATTTGAACCATATTCAACTCTTGCTTTCCCTAAGCACATATGTACCTTTTTCCAAGTCATAATTACTTGGATTATAGTCCTAATACCACATGTTAATTTTACATTAAAATGCATCTTTGTTGATTTGTAAAATTAGATTGTAAATTCCTTGAGGGTAGAAGCTGCCTTTTGCTTTTTTTTGTATCCTCAGCACTTAGCACAGTACCTGACACATAGTGGCACTTAATAAATGTTTAGTGATTGATTAGTAAAATCATTTACAGTTAACATAAGATGCCAACATTCTTTCTACTGAAATCCCATAGTATCAAGTACTGCTTGAAACAATTTTTGTTGTTCAGTTGTTTCAGTTGTGTCTGACTCTTCATGACCCACTGGGGTGTTTATGACAAAGACATTGGAGTGTGGTTTGCCAATTCCTTCTCCAGCTCATTTTAGAGATCAGGAAATTGAGGCACACTGGATTAAGTGACTTGTGGAGACTCACAAAGCTAGTAAAGTGTCTGAGGCCAGAAGATGAGTCTTCCTGACTCTAGGCCCAACACTGTATCCATTGTGCCACCTATCTACCCTTGAAACAATTAGCCTATTAATTATATCTTGGAACGCTTTTCATTATATAAAGATGGAACTGGATTTGTGTGTGTGGGGGGAAAGACCTCAGTTCAAATACTGGCTATGCTACTTACTACCTAAGCAAGTCACAACTTTTAAGGCCTCATTTTCCTCATCTATAAAATAAAGGAATTGGACTAAGAAATCTCTCTTTATATCTCTCAATCCTAAAATTATTACCATAATTATATTTAGCATAATAGGGTTTTTTCAAATCTAGCCTTACAAATATGTTATAATTAACCCCTGCTGTCAATATAGTAAAACATTTTCAAATTTTTATGTAGTACTTACTTTAAGGAGATCTATTTCTTTGATGCAGTCAGCACGAGCCTTGGCATCCATTAAATCAAATATCTATTTAAAAAGGAAAAAAGATGAAAATATTTTAAAATGAATACCAACTAAACATGGATCAAGATGATATGCACAGGCAGTTATAGTTTATGTATAATTCTGATTGTTGCAGCATACACTCCTTAACTTGGTATTTAGTGTTCTCCATAATCTAGCTCTAACCTACCTTTCCAATTTTACTTAAGTTTTTCATGCAATCTACATTCCAGCCCAGCTAACCGCTTTATTATCATCATATGTTGCCCTTCTGTATACATGTACAGGCCACTTACCAAGTCCGGAAAGTATATTTCTGCCTAGTAAAATCCTTTTCTTCCTTGAAAGCTTGCTACTTCCTCCATAAAACTTTCCTAGTCTCTCTTCTTATTCCCCAGTTAAAATTGTTATCTCTTTCAAATTTTCCCAGAACTTGCATATCTTTTTGTCCCTATCACACTGTTAGTATATTTATTTGTATACATGCCCAAAAAAATTCTTAAGAGTGTCTCAGCAACAAGGATTGTATTAGCTTTTACTTTAGTTTACCTAGTAATTCACAGTAAATGCTTGTTGGATTGAATATGCAATAACACCTTCTACCACTAAGCTGTTTTGACTAGTGCAACATTTTAAGACAGATGGCAGATTCAAATCCCAGTTCTGCCATTTACCACCTATGTGACTTTGGGTAAATCATCAACCTTTCCAGACCTTAATACCTTTCTCTGTAAAATGAGAGGTTTAGACAAGATGACCTCTAAGAAGGCACTTCCTGCCTCTAAGTTTATAATCCTAGATTGCTTAATCCTAAAGATATTTAATAGTGAAAATGAAAAACAAAGTTAAAGTTTTCTTTATTTAGGTCTTAAATTCCAAAGATCTGCATAGAATATTCCTAATGAGACATATAGTTATAGATGAAAAGAAACCTTAATAAAGATAGACAGCATTCCAGGCATGGGGAATAGCTAGTACAAAGGTATAGAGATGGGAGATGGAATATAATGTGTGAGGAACAAGAAGGAGGTCAGTATGGCTAAAACATAGAGGGGAGACTTGAAGCAAGAAGACCAATTAGAAAATTATTGAAATAAATTGTGTGAGAGGTGACATGGGCCTGACCTGGAATGATAGTGATATGAGTGAAGAGAAAAACACATATCTAAAGCAGTCAAAGAAAGAGAACAGGGACCAGAACTTCAGATTCAGAAATCTTGAAGGTACAACATTTCCAAATGATGGGGGAGGTCTAAGATATAACCATCAGTGGATGACTGAAACAGAAGCTGAGGTCAGAGAATTGAAACGGATATGTGAAAATGATTACCAGGGAAGGAGCTGAATGGGAAGGCTGTCAGGTGCCAAACTCACTGAAGGAAGGTGGGAGAAATGTCAACAGATGACAAGAGCAAGAAAAGGTGGCACAGTAAGATGTTGTGAAATTATAGGAGCACATGTTTATAAATAAAAGGGATTGTAAAAGACCCCCAGTTCAAACATTTTCAGTTGCAGAAAGTGAGGCCCAAAACAAGTTCAGAGATTTGCCCAAGATCATACAATGGTAGAGTTATCTCTCTGCCTACTGATATGTTTCTCTTCTTCCTTCAAGGCTCAGCTGACCTCTGCAGCTGAAAATAAACTTTCCTCTATAATTTCAGTAGCACTGTTCCAGTCACCCTGTTTGTCCTTTTTACATTTCACCTTGTAAATATATATTTGTGTACTTAATTATCTTATCCCATTAGATTAAGCAACTTCATGGCATCATCTTTGTGCCCCTAGCACAAAGCACACCACCCTGTACACAGTAGGCACTTAAACTGTTTGTTAAATGGAACTGAGTTCCTTAGAGAAAGTGATAGAACAAGGGGGGTCTGGAAATGGCAAGTGGTGTGAAAAATTATGTAAACTAGATTAACTAAAACTTCCTTCTAGGTTTACAGTTCTCTGATATAAAAAGGAGGAAAAGAGGCAAGAGCAATAAATATTGTAATATTCTAAATGTTCAGAGGTCACAATTCAGCTATTTCAACAATCCTGAACACAAACACACACAAGGAGATAAACCAGAGTTGTTTGAGTTTTTTCCCCCCACATTTTTCGTGTCATGGACCCCTCGGGCAATCTGGTAAAGCCTATGGACCCCCTTCTTGGAATGTTTTTAAACACATAATAATTATAACAACGACAACAACAGCAAAAAAAATTTACATAGCACTTACTATGTGCCAGGCATTGTGTTATTCCCTTTACAATTATCTCATTGAATCCTCAACAACAACTCAAGTGCTATTATTATCTCCATTTTACAGATGAAGAAACTGAGAGGTTAGGTGATTTGCCCAAGTTTACAAAGCCAATAAATGTCTGAGGCTGGATTTGAACTCAGATCTTCCTAATTCCAGGACCAGTGCTGTATCTACTGCGCTGCCTAGCTGCATAAAACAGCAAAATACATAGAGTTATAAAGAAACCACTTACACTGAAATACAGTTACTAAAATTTCAAAAACAACAAAAAAAGAAAGTTCATGAACCACAGCTTGAGAACTCCCAAAATTAAATAAAAAAGTTTTAGGACAGCATATAGTTGTCATAAAACCCATGGAATTTATGCCAAAAGAAAGGTAAAGTCACTATCAGGCTTACAGGTTGGTCAATTTTATCTGAAATACAGCAATAGATTAGAAGAAAAGACACATCAAAAATAGAGAAGTGACAGCTGACAGTAGGACAAGAAAGAGCTATATGTCAGCAGAAAAATCTGGTGCCATTTAATATAGAGATATAACCTTATATACCTCAATAACTCCACAAGGAGTTACTGTTGTAATTACAAAGTATAGCAAAGTAACTTCTCAGAGGGATGTTGATAATTTTTCAAGAAAGACAATTTATATGTAATCTCTTCCAGGAAGGAGTAACTTATTTTGGAAATATTTCTATCAAAATAGAATAATTTTTGGTATTTAAAGGGGAAAATTTCAGTTACCTGGAAAATCCATTTAGTGAAATAATTCATTCCTGAAAGATGTCAAATTGTTACTGTAATAACACTTCTTCAGAAAACATTAAAGGCAAAGAAAATGAACATAAATAGAAAACATTAAGAGCAGTTAGTTACCAGCCATTCTGGAAGCAAGAAACAATGCAAGAAATAACAGATATGAAGATTTAAATGAACTGATTTACTGACAAGCAGAAACAGAAAAAAACAACATACAATGATTAATGGAAATGGAAAAACAATAAAAAACTCAAGAAGCTTACATCCTATGACAATAAAAATTCTACAGATACTTGGGTCTTCTTCAGTATCACTACAATATTCTACTTTTAAAAAAATAAATTTGTACTATCTTTTCTCCTTACATCTTCTAAATTTCCCCCATGCTCCTTTGCTCCTTCCAGAGATTCATCCCTTTTAACAAAGATTTAAAAAAGAAAAAAAAAGGAAAGGAAAAAAAATCAGCAAAATTAATCAGTATAGAAACAAAATCTGGCATAAATGCAACAGTGCACTTATGTGGACCCCTTTATTTTGACAAAATAGTAGTGCCTTCTCATATCTCTTATTTGGAGCCAAGCTAGTTCTTTGTAACTCTGCAACATTCACTTCCATTGTTTTGTGGTTCTTTCCATTTACAGTGTTGAATTCATTGTGTATACTATGTTCACCTCACTCTGCATTAGTTTACATAAGTCTTTCCATGATTCTCTGTATTCATCAAATTTACCTCAACAGCACAGTAATATTATATTACATTCATGCATCACAATTTGTTTAGCCATTCCCTACTCAATGGACTCTACTTTGTTTCCAGTTATTTATTTGCTAAAACCAAAAGGCTGCTATGATATTTTGCTGTATATAGAGCCTTTTTAAAAAAAAAATCATCCTTTTGGGAATGCTTTGGTGTATATGCCAGGCAGCGGAATCTCTGGGTCAAAAGATATGAACATTTTAATCACCTTATTTTCATTATTACAAATTACTTTGTAGAAGGGTTGTACTAATCCATGTAACAATGCATTAATGTATCCATCTTTACACTATCCCTCCAACATTGACTCTTCCCACCTTTTGTGTGGGAATAGGTGTGAGGTAAATTCTTAGGTTGTTTGATTTATAGTTTTTAGTTACTGGAACAATATTTCACACAATTAATAGTTTACAACTCTTTTGAGAATTATTTGCTCATATCCTTTAACCACAACCAGGTTCTATTTTTAAGTTGCAGAACCTATTTTATAAAATTTGTTCAGAAAAGCAGGGCTATGGATGCAATAGGAGCAGCAGTGACATGTCATAGTGACTTTGCAGTCAAGACACAGTTTGAATCTCAGCTCCACTACTTAATACCTCTGTGAGCTGAGGCAGGTTATTCCACTCTTCTTCTGGGGTTTATATTTCTTTTATATATATAAAATCAAAGTGTTGTACTAGATGATTTATAAGGTTCCTTCCAGGCCTAAATACTATATTCAAGAATATTTGATCACAAGTAGAATCAAACTAAAATCTGAAGACATCTGAATTGATTCTCACTGGCATTCCATATTATATATTTTCTTTACCTGTCTTGGCCAACAAGTCAAGACAAAAAAAAGTACTGGATCTTTAAGTCATGTCATTCCTAACCATAAATTAAAGGTTCAAAGCTAATTTCTTTCAAAAATAAGTAAAAGCATCATTTATTAACCATTGGGATTTTGTGATCTATAAAACTTGGAGCACCTCCAATGTGAGAACTTCATAAACAATCCCTCACAAAAGTCATCTGATTTAAAAACCAAGGTGGTTGATTGGGTCTTCTAACTTTTTCTATAACTGGCAACTTAAAGTACTATGTTTTTCCTTCTAGTGCATTTATCACACCTTAAAGTATAGTTAAAGTACAGCTTTTTAATAACCCTTCACCCTTAACAAATAAGAGATACATCTTGATTTTACTTTAATGCAATTGTTATTGATACTTATTTAATGACTGATGGCTTTTGATATTATCATTGATGATTCTC